CTCAGACATTCTTTCTGAGGATATAAGAATATATATCCTTTGTCTTTGAGTAATATAGTCAAAGTATTCATTCTGTAAAAGTGTCAGAATGAGCAATTCTCATAAGCGAGCTATCATTCCTCCTCTCTGAAAACCCCAGTAATGTCTTCAAAGCCCAGGATACACACAGCTATGAATAGGCTGTTCACCTCTCCCTGGGAGCATATGGTTGAAGCTCAGACAGTACAAAAATATTATTGTTGCCTTGGGGCATGAAGAGAGAGCATGGGCTGGGAGTTAGGCAAGCTGTCTGTCAGGTGCTGAATGGGAAGGTTGTCTGAGCACTGCTGAGCCACGCCCCTTTCTCATCCAGCTTATAGCCTCTAATAAAGGTCTTCGGTGTCCTCTCGGTGTCATGAATTAGGGAGTGTCTTCTGTCTCATGTGCCACCTCTTGTGGTCCCCAGAAGAAGCTGGTTTCACCTTGCTCTCACCACTGTGGCCTCCAGGCTCATCTCATTATTACCTACCTGAGGAGACCAAAGGAAGAGTCAGTGGGAACCAACTCAATGACCCTCTCTGTTTTTTCTTTTCCTGTCATACAAGGCTGACACACAGAGTCCCACGGATGGGCTACAGACTTTGGAATAAACCCCGATTCAGTCTCACTGAATAAATGAAACTGAGCCAACTGCACTTCGCTTTAATAGACCTTAATGTCCTCATCTATTAAATGGAATTAACAATAATGACTAAACTCATAGAAATGGAAGATAAATCGTCTCTTTCATGATTCTCCAATCCTTATGAGGCTGGGTTTCTTAAGAACAGAGACCATATCTTATTCATATCTTATTCAAATCCACATTTAATAAATGAGGGAGAGATATTGTCATATCCAGTTTATACCTAAACCAACAAACTAAATTTCTCCTTCCTCAGGCCTTGACATTCAACCACTATCTGCTTGTGTAGTCAGCAGGTACCTAAACAAAGGAAGTGGGTGGATTCCTTTTATGCACTGCCCTCTCCTTGCTTCCTCATAGCAATGGTTTCTGAGGGGAATGGATTGTGTGAGTTCATGGGAAGACCAAATCCATTCTGGGCTTCAGGGTGACTGAAAAATCAGGCACGGATTCCCTCCCTTCATTTTGTCAACACAGGCCCATGGTGGAAGGGGAAATGTAGTCATTGTCATATCACCTCAGGCATGACTCCCGTTTCTTCAAAAACTTCAGTTTATCACAGTGAGTCTGGCAGAAAGTGTCACCTGTGCCATTACTGACAGTCAAGTGTATGGAACAAAACAGGAAAAGGGATTGGAAGCAATGTCTGGGTCTGTCTTAGAAGGCAGCAAGGAGGTGGTTATTGCCATGAAGTGTGATGAAGAACAAAGCCTTAGAAGATTCTCTCTCTTCCCGTTTTTTCTTTCTCTCTCTCCACTAAAAATTCCTTTCTTCACTGATAACCCAAGTCCCACCATTGGTGATTCATCTCACTGACTGAGAATTGCCCCCACTGTGGCACCGTCCCTCACATGGGTGTTAGGCCTCACGCGCCTTGGAGCATCTGACTCTTTGCCTCTTTTCCTATTCCTGTTAGATTTGCAGCCTGCTTTCCCTTCCTGTTAAAGTCCCCACCACCCCCTTTATTCACCCAGGGCTCTCCCCACCCACTGCCCACTAGACTGCCTGAGAAGGGGTGTGTTCTCCTCAGCCTCCCACTTCATCACAAAACCTCTTCTATTAAGGCTGTTTGTTGCCAATCTCTAAGATGGGGACTAACAAAATTAATAAACAGAGGAAATGATGAAGAAATCCTGAAGTCTTCCAAAGGCATCATTCTTGTTTACAGCCCCTGAGTCTCCTCAGTCTTCATTTCTCCAGTACTCTTCATTTATTTCTCAGGATGAAAGACTAGTAAAACCTTCACCTCCCTCCATCTCTTCTCTCCCTGTGCTCATTTTAAAGACACTGTTGGAGTTGAACAATAGAAGCTTTATTCATTCTTTTAGCTAGTATTTATTGAGTACCACCACATCCCAGGCACTATCCCAGGTGCTGGGAATCCAGCGTTGACCATGGTGTTTCCAGAGGAATGAAGACAAGCAGTAAACAAGCAAGCTAACAAGTAAACCTGAAGATCAGTGGCATGAAGGTGACGAGTAAGGGCTGTGATGAAGGGTGACAGGAAGGGGCTTCTGGGGCAGTGATATTTGAGTTAAAACCTAAGAGATGAGAAGGAGTTGGTCTTGGAGAGTGATGGGGGAAGAGCTAGGCAGAGCTAGCAATGAGGGGAGAGGAAACGGCAAGTGCCAAGGTCCTATGTTCGGAAAGAGTTGGGTGTATTTGAGGACTAGAAAGAAGGCTCATGTGGCAGTGAAGTATATAGGGGGAGAATGACACAGATAACATTGAGGAGGTGAGCAGGGGCCAGAAAATGCAGGGTCTGGGGATTTATAGTAACAAGTTTGTTTTGATAATAAATGTCAGGAGTTTTAATCAATGGAGGGACATGGTCTGATGTGTATTTTTAAAAAATGTTTTATTTAATTTTGAAAGAGAGAAGGAAAGAGAGCAGGGGAGGGATGGTGTGGGGGCAGAGGATCTGGAGCAGGCATCTGCACTGACAGGAGAGAGAGAGAGAGAGAGAGAGAGAGAGAGAGAATCCTAAGCAGGCTTCATGCTGTCAGTGCAGAGCCCCATGCGGGGCTGGAGCTCATGAACCCTGAGATCATGACCTAAGATGAAGTCAGATGCTCAATTGACTGAGCCAGCCAGGTGCCCCTGAGGTGTATTTAAAAAAAATCACTCTGGCTGAAAATTTAGGTGAAAAAATGTAGGTGTTTGTTTACATTGCCAAAAAGTGTGCTGGTTAGTATCACCTCGTCTTAAATTGATGCTTTACAGCTGAAGGAAAAGATACCCCCCATGTCTGTACTGACACAGCCCCTGGGGGGAGTTGGAGATTAGCCCAGACCCAGACCCCTCCTGTGTGGGGGGTTCCTTCTCTCCAGGGTGAGGGGTACAGGAAACAGAGGAGCAGAAGCTACGTTCTGAAATGGAAGAAGACACTGATCGGCAGGAAAAGCTGGAGCAGCCAGGGAGGACATGAAAACAACATTTAGCGCACTTTAGCATGGAGCTCAGACTCTTGGAATCTCCTTTCCTGATAGTCCTGAGATGGGCTTTCCACCGCATCCCCTAAATCTGTCTTTCCTCCCCTAATAAGCCTTATGGGTTATTGAACAGAACTCTCAAGCATAACTTACTTGCCCAGTGTTCAAGCCTTGGAAAGTTAAGTGTGATTGGTATAAAATGTTCAAAAATGTTTTTGTGTGTCAATGCTGGAGACCCAAGAAGCATGTGACCCACAGGAATCTGCCTGAGAATCACCAGGTAATTGTCCTGGCCAGGGTCCTCTTCCCCACACTAGGCTAGGCAAAATTTGGTAGACTGACCTGCTGTTAGAATGCTAAATCTGCAGACTTTGCTCAGAAATACTACAAGAAGTGTCTGGGGAGGCACCCCCCCCCCCACCACCAGATTCTGCCATCTTTCCACAGTGCTCTTGCCATTTCCAAGCAGAGGGAGCCTGGAAGGCTTCCAAAGGAAAGCTAAACAGGAAGCATATAATTTCCAAGGAGCTGACAGATCACTTTCAATCAGACCGCTTGGCTCTCATAACATTTCCAAGCTCATTCTCAGAGAAACACTCTCCCTCATCAGCTAAGGTTCTGTTAAGAGGATTTACTCCCACAGCCTCACTTGGCAAAGCTACACAGAAGACTACTAAGTCTGCATCCCTAGGCTTAATTCTTCTCCACCATTCCAGAATCCAATTTTCAGCTGCAGGCTTGTCATTTCCTGGATACCCCACTGATGTCTTTCAGTCAACGGGTCCCAAACCATCTCATCATCTTCCCCTCTCCTGGTTTTCCTGTTTCTGTTAATGGAATCACTGTTCCCTCTGCTACCCTGGCTGGAAACATCTGAGTCATCCTTGACTCATCCTTCTCTCTTATTCTCTAGATCAAATCAACTGCCGAATCATGTAGTATCTATTTCCGTGATGTCATTTGAATTTGTCTTCTCCTTCCTATTGCTGCCATCTCTCCTCAGTGTGGGCTCTCATTACTTCCCCCTTGACAGGCACATCCTCACTAATAACCTATCTCCGTACTGCTGCTGACCTGAGGCTTCTCTCTCTCTCTCTCTCTCTCTCTCTCTCACACACACACACACACACACACTGACCAACCACCTCCCTCTCATAGCACAGCCTGTCATGTTTCTACTGCTGCCATAAGACATATAAACTGTCTTTAGCTTATAAGGCACAAATTCTTTTCTAATACTCCATGTTCAAGGTAAATTTACTAATTCCTGGTGTAGAACATGACTTTTTTTCCCTTTCTTGAATCCTTTTAGTAAATGATCTTGTGAAAAAGGAAGATCTTCTATTGCTGAATTCTGTATTTATGCATTTATATGCTTTTTTTTTTTTTTATCTCCTTAGAGGATTCTCCATTGCTGTAATGTTTGCCTCACATAACAACTGAGCACACGCAAGTACCCAGTGCTGTCCTAAGAGCTTCACCCATGTGGAAAAAAATTAACTCTCATAGCAATTCTAGTAGTATCTCCCATTTTATCAGTGACAAACTGAAGTGCAGAGAAGTCAAGTAACTTCCTGAGGGTCCATAACTAGTAAGTGGCAGAGGCAGGATTCAAATTCATGCAGTCTGGCCCCATGGCCCATGATCTGCACCAATGAACTCACATTGTTGTTACCTGCATTTCTGGCATAATAGTTTGGATTTAGCTGATGTTTTATAACTGAACTGAAACTCAAGGCACATGTCCATTCATGGTCAGAAATATCAATGATAGGCTGAGTGTGGGAATGTAAGTTGATACCAAAAGCTGACTTAAGGTGTTTCCCAGGAAATCACTATGAAGATGGGAAGTGTCATTGTGCTAATTTTTCCCCTACTTATTCTTTTTTTTTTTCTTATTCCAGTACATGGGCTGTATCGAAGTGCTGCAGTCAATGAGGTCACTGGATTTTGGCATGAGAACCCAAGTTACAAGGTAAGAGAACAAAAATAGGATGGACTTTTTAGTGCTGTGGTTTAAAGTCATAATAGTTTCTCCCTGCAGGAATTTCATGCAAGCCTTCAAAGTCACCATGGGCTTTTATTCAAATGGCTGGAAGGTAGAACATAGCCCAGTGACCTTGGATGAGTGGCTTTATCCCATCATGTGAAAGATTTCCCAGTTCTGTGGTGGAGCATCTGCATTCCATATAAGAACTGATAAGATGATGCAGTCGTAGAAATATCTGGTTTCCCAGGTACCAAAAGTATTTAAGATTATGTCTGAAAATTGAACATTATAGAATCTCAGACCTGTTGAAGAAGTAGCTAAAAAGAAGACCGGGGAAGAAATTTCTGTATCAGAAATCCCAGGGTCTCCCCGTTTATGAGACATGAGAACCTGCTTATTCCTTGTCTGAGTCTTCCTCTCTGTATACAGAGGGATGCATGGAAGAGTTGAACCCAGCAGCCTTACCCAGCTGGCCCTAGACAGTGTAGGGGAAGAACCAGAGTCATCATTACACAGAGCACAAGTCAGAAGCAGAAATACAAGGCATGGTTCATTAAGGTCAAGTTCAAGGCAAGAATGGAAAGAGGAGTAAGTGAGAGTGCCCAGACTGGTAAGTGGGATAATTGTGAGGTGAGAGTACTGGGTTGATGTGAGTGATTTAGGATGAAGCCTTGGGTGTCTGTTCGAAGTGGTGCTTCTGTGTGTCTCAGGGACAAGCCCCAGTCAGCATGTGCATCCGTGGTTGTGGGCCACCTTTTCCAAAGGTGGATGTTCTCATTATGAAGAGAGGATAATTCTTCCTAATACTCATCCCATGAAATTGTAGGCCTAGAAAAGGTGTCCTGTGGTTCAAAGTTTTGGGGAAAGCAATCCTATTGCTCTTTCGGAGAATGGCAACATCCACCAGAATATTAAAAACCCCAAGAAGTTCTGAGCTGTAGTTTAAAAAAAAATCCATCTCAAGATTGTCTAAACTTACTTGGCCCCAGAATCTTTTCCTCATGTAACATAAATGAACATCCCATGTAACCCTAGCATTCCATGAAATGTACTTTAGGAAATGCTGTTTTGGACTCTCTATGATGCATTCAAATCTGTCTTCCCAAGTTTCTCAGCAACCTTTAGTATTCCCTTTGGAGTCTCACAGATGAAATCTAATTCTACTTTTTTTTGGTACTCTTGGTGGCCACCTCAGTTCCTGGCACTTGGAGGAGGCTCACTGGAGATTTATTGAATAAATGCATGGTTACACCTGACTACCTCCCGGGATTTGGAGATAGCTGCATTTCTTCTTGTCTGAGTTGCCTCTTTCTCAGTCCCTTCAACTATCCTGCAGGTGACTGGTGTCTAGATGACTTTCTCCCCTATTAGCCCTACTTTGGATGTGTCCAGGCTTTATTTTCATCCTCATGATCCTCAACCTGGATAAAGCCCTTCCTCTGATGCTGAACAGGTTACAGATGGGAGGAAGAGAGTGGCCATTTCAGGTAGCTGGAACGGGAGCACAGGATGAAGGAATGCCCACTGTCTTTACCTGAGAATGACTGATTTTCCATTCATTCATTTACTCATTGTCTTTCACTCAAATATTTATGGAGTTCCCATTAAATGCTTGAAACTGTTCAAGAATTAAGGATGCAGAAATGTCTGTTCTCATGGAGTTTATGTTCTAGCTCGGGGAACAAGACTACAGCAAGGAAACAGATAAATATACGATATAGTTTTAGGTAGTAGTAAGTGCCATTACTGTACTAATAAAGCAGAGTAAGGGGATAGAGATGTGGGGGGTGAGCTTTTATTTTTTAATTTTTTAAAAAAATTGTAGATAATTGACTCACGATGTTACATTAGTTTCAGGTGTACAACATAGTGATTCATCTTCTTTATACTTTATGCTGTGCTCACCAAAGTGTAACTACCATCTGCCTAGGGGCTGGGCTTTTAAATTTTGTTTTCTGGGTATAACAGTACTCTATGGACACTTGGGATGGGCCCTGTGTGTTGTATGGAAGCCAATTCAACAATAAATTATATTTAAAAAGTAAAATAAAACAATACTCTATGGTAACTTAAAACATTTGGAAAATACAGAAAAGTATGAACAAAAGAAAATCACTCATAATCTTACTTAAGATAATGTCCACCAACATTTTGTGTTTTGGAATAACTTTCTGGTCTTTTACTCATACATGAACTTACAATAATTTTTATAGAAAATCTGGAAAATGGTTGATACTAGTTCTACCATCTCGAGCATTTCTCTACTACTAAATATGCAAAACTATTATTGTAATAAAATATGTGTCACATAAAATTTATCATTTTAACTAGTTTTAAGTGCACTGTTCAGTAGCATTAAGTACATTCATATTGCTGTGCAACAATTGCGATCCATCCCCTGAACTTTTTCAGCTTCCCAGATGCAAATTCTGTACTCATTAAATAATACCTCCTCATTCTCCCCTCCCCTAGCCCATGGCAACTGCTATTCTACTTCCTGTGTTTATGAATTTGACTACTCTGGGTATCTCATGTGAGTGGAATCCTGCAGTATTTGTCCTTTTGTGACTGATTTGTTTCATTTACCATAACGTCCTCGAGGTTTACCATTAGACCAAATAATATAACTGTTTTGAAAGCATTTGGTGCGTATTGCTAGATTGTTCTGCAGAACTGACTACTTGATATTCCTTCCTGTCAGTCATATAGTATCTTTTTTTAAACTTTAGGATCTATTTTTTGTATCTTTGTGAACTTGTAAGTCTATATTTTCCCATTGTTTAGTAAATGGTAAAAGGTTACTTTTTCTGTGCTATGAAGATTCAGTTTATAACTAATGCACACACCCAGAGGAAGGTGCCTGGTATGGTATCTGGATATTGTGCTTTGTGGATGTATCCATGTGTGGCTCAGGCATGGTAGATTGTGCTCTGGGCAGGTGTGTGCAAGCTCAGGGGCCGTTCACTTTCTTGAAAACCTTGAATCCTTATCTTACTTCTCAAATATTTACTTTTCTTCCTTCTCTTTAAATATTTCCTTTTTTTAAGCTCATTCTCCTTTCTTCTCTCCCCTTATATGTATTTTGATGTTCAATCACTTTTCACGTTTCTTTATTACCAATGGTCTCAGATGTTATCATTAAAACATTAAGTTCAAGCTATTTTTAAAAAAATTTTAATGTTTGTTTATTTTTGAGATAGAGAGAGACAGAGCTCAAGTGGGACAGGGGCAGGGAGAGAGGGAGACATAGAATCTGAAGCAGGCTCCAGGCTCTGAGCTGTCAGCACAGAGACTGATAGGGGGCTTGAATTCAAGAACCGTAAGATCATGATCTGAGCATAAGTCAGATGCTCAACTAACTGAGCCACCCAGGTGCCCCTAGGTTTCAAGCTATTTTAAATCTAAGTTTCACATATTCACACAGTTTCATTTAATTTATAATCCTACTTAATCCAAGAAAAAAATTTCACCGGACCAGTTAGAATTCCAAAAGAAAGATTTTGTAAGACCACAGCTATCTCCCTATATTTACTATCAAACATAAACATAAAATCAATCAGGTGTGAATGCTAATAAACTAGTGTATGTAATTGCCACTACAGATTCAAATGATGATATTTCAGGCTGATGTTCCACTCATGATAAATGGTCTCACTGTCTCTAAATTAGTTAATACGTTATTCCAGATAATCAGGAGATAGTAACAGGAAATTCCTGATAATAAAGAAGGAGCCATGATTTCAGATATAACACGTGGGTCAGCATTTGAAACGGAGAAGAAAGGTGGAGTAGAATTCTTGTATTCGTGACGGACCTTTCTGCCAATTGTTTGAGGCTTCAATGCACAGGATTTCTAGAACACAGAGAATACTTAAATAGAGCAGAGAAAAAAGGAAAAGGACAGAGGCCATTCACTTTCTCAGCAGTTCCCTGGCTCATACCCATTTCAAAGCTTCCATCATGCCCCTCCACATTGACGCAGACTTAGTCCCCAAAAGAGTCCCGTGGGTGGCTTTTGCTGTTGTTCCTCCACTAAGTCTTACCCAGGTATTTATTCTCCTGACTGATTTAGGATGGGATCTTAGTTTTTAGTAATCAGGTATTCATGCAAAAGGGCCAAGGAGGAGGTTTTCCTGATAGAAAAGAGAAACGAGATCCCTAGGACAAAAAAGGCTCACAGCCACAGTTGTCTTTCAATGTCTAGAAAACAATAGCAAGAGGAAATAAGAGAAAGGGAAAATTAAAAGCATGCTAAGGATGACATAGTCATTTGCTCTCTTGTTAAAAGAGTTTCTATTATGGTTTTTTAAAACAAAGCTAAGAAAACCCAAAAACCCTCATTCAATCTAAATCGGGGCACAAACACATGCACACACACTCACACCAAATAAATCAGGTCATTAAAACCTAACACCTGGGTTCCCTCCTTTGAGTAAGCATCCACATCTTGCAAAGGAGAAAAATCTTTCCTCTCTCCTTAAGGATGCCTCCTTCTTTGTGTCCAGTAAGGAACCTGCCTCAGATACTGAAGGAGGGATAAACACATCAGGGAAGTGGAGCTGATGGGGCAGGGATTGACTTTCAACACTAAAGAAGAGAACTTCATAGGAAACTGTCAAGAGGACATTTAGTTCATCGCATTTATCACAGGGCAACATTTACTTCCAGGGTCAGGGCACACTGCTGGTGGGAGGGATCTCCAGATCACTGTCTTACTATTCGCTCCACTTCCTGTATTTATTGCCTTATGTGTGTAACTCATATTTGGTAATAAAATCAGCCAGGCTAAGTATGAGACTCCCAGCACAGGATCTGCCCACTCCACGCTCCAAGACAGCTGGGAAGCAGCAGCTGTCGGTGGGTTTGCCTCATTCCGTGATTGTCATCCCTGAGGGTCTACGAAGGAACATGCGGAGCTGTTAGACAATGGGTGGTAAATGCTCCCTGTTGGGGGTCCTTGCTTAAGATTCATTTTCTCTGGCTGA